TGCGGTATGTTACAAGTCAATAGTAGGCAAAAGGCATTTCTAGCTGAATGATTAAAAAAAGAAACCAAAAAATGACAAATGGAAATTGAACTATGAGTCATAGCCAATGACATGAACTTTAAAGCATTCCAACATATAAAAAATTAACATGATAAATTAGCAAAAGTAATGAAAAGCATACAACTCACTCATCCTCTGCCTCGGTGAAAAGTACACGGTTTGCAAGAGGGGCAGGGGGTGGTTTATGAGGGTAAAGGGCAGGATTAAACAAGGGATAAAATCTCTGAGCTATCTCAGCAATCTCCTTTGGAACTAGAGCAACTGATTGCTTTTTGGCCCTTTCAACTAGGGCAGATGCCATTGTCTTCTTAGGTGTTCGATCACTTTTAGGTGACAAATGTGCCACACTCAAAGTTGGAGAATCAGCACCTCTCAAAATTTGATCACATGGTTCAGAAGCAGGGAAACAGCTTAAAGGGAATAACGGTTCCCTTTCTGAGCGAGTATCACACGTAAGTCCCACTTGGCGTCTATGATATTCCTGCACCACTGTATGAGTTAAAGATCAATAACAGATAAACCAGAATGTTCCAAATATACGAGGAAGCATCATGCCTCCATGACTAAACATGCATAATGTGAAAAGATATAGCTGATAGTTTTGTCTTGAATAACATTCCAGCAGAAACATCATCCACAAAGTTCCCAACTAATCTGAGTGGAGCTACATCCATTACAGACAATACTGAACCATTTATGTATGGCATCCAGAAGGAACCCTCAGGACCATGGCCATCACGAAGAGACTCACGTCTTCCTTTTGAAGCAGAGATGATATCAGGCGGTACCATGTTATTCCCTGAAGGACAGCTTCTCCAAACGTCAACAACAGAAGAAGATTCATCAATGCATGGCACTGGGGAAATTCTGGGTGCTTCATTTGGCACTGATGGATGAATGTGAGGAGGAAAGAAGCAGAAACTAGGATATGGTAATCTTCTCCATGCTAACACATGATCACGTACATGAAGCATCTCTTTAATCAATTCCTGAACTTTGGCAGCTATGTGCCGTCGAGAAGGCTCAAGTACACAAATGGAAAATACCTGAACAAGAAGCTGCATGTGTTCATGGATCAGACAATGCAATTGCCCAATCTGATGTGGAGAAAATCCATTTATAGATCCATCAGTTGTTGAAGGAGGAAAATCTGCAGCATGGTTCATTATGAAGCTTTTCCCATCCAGAGTTGAAAAAGGCAGCCGTTGTGCTAGAGGTGCACTTGGTAAGAGCGGGCGTAATGGCCTCTTCGACTGCCCCAAAAGCTTCTTGTTGCCTTCAACAGAAGCTTTCTTGCGTCTATTTTGCCTAGTCTTGGGTCGGCGACCAGCAACATCATAAACCTCTTCTTGAATCCCATCCCTTGCATCCTCATCAATGTCACTCTCAAGTGCCTCTTCAATTTCAAGCTCGAAGTCTGCATCATTTTCTTCATCTTCATCATCAACATTGTCATTCTCTTGTGCACTTTGAGGGTCCCCATCCCCACCAAGTAGAACAGCAGCAAGAAATTTCCTGTACTCTTCTTCATCATCAACATTTTGAAGGTCATCATCATCATCTGTTTCTTGAAGAAAAGTCTCCAATTCATCAAGTGTAAAGCTAGCAAGTGAGTATCGAGCTCTTGTGCGCATGCAAATTGCATCCTCATCGTCCATATTTATTACAGGCTTCCCGGAATGTACAGCAGGGCTGAACTCCCCAGCCACCAAATCACTATCAACAAACATCCGGCTGCCTGATCCTTCACTCTTTTCATGCAGGGACCCAATTTCGGAGCCTTTTTTACATTCTCCTGCAGTAGAAGTTTCAGTCTGTGTCACAACCTCTTCACCTGGGTCAGTGTCTCCCACAGGACAGTCCTGCACTGGACTGGGAAGCTTTGCTGTGGAATCAGTTGCTACAGATGCAGAAGCATTTTCCCTAATATCCGTAACATCAGCATCCAAACCTTCATTTTCAGAGCTCAAGCTTGAAGAAGCTTCTTGAGAAGGAGAATCCTTTAATAAAGGATTGAAATCTACATCCTCTTCCTCATCTTCATCTTCATATCCATCCTCAACCTCATTTCTGTTACCAACACCATCTGCAGTATCGCCCTTGTTCTCATTGACCTCTTGTTCCATTGGATATTCACCACATTTGTCTACGCTGGCACAGGCAGGAATTGTACCATGCCCATTGGGGTCCCCAACTTCCCGTGGTAGCATAATTCAACCTTAAATAGTAAGGCATATTTCAAATGCAACCTACCCTGAACATAAGTTCACGACTTGGGCACAATTTCACACACAGAGATATCCACTTTGCCTCCTATGCAATTTACAACCAATCTAATCAGTAGACAGTTGAGCTTGTATTTTGTATGAACCAAAGTTAATGAAAACTAAAACTTCCAACCAGAAGAAAAATGAGCCAATAAAATTCCAATGCTAATAAAGCTTCCATTTTGCTTCTCTGGCTTTCAGCTGAGCACCACAACTTTACAGCATAAAAAAAGAAGGGCAATGCAAAAGATGCATGATCACCAAAATTCCCCCCCACTGATCCTGAAATTGTACCATAGCTTATTCAACAAAGCCAAAAAAATTTATCACAATCCAATTCGTTCTCAAGTTTTATAAACATTTTGCTATTTAATCCCTTTTTCAACCCCTTATTTCTTCAACCTTGCATGAAGGGCCAAAGATAACCAGAATTTAAACCCGATAATTAAAATCAAACCAAGATGATTAAAAAAACCAGGCTTGATAATACAAACAGGCAAATTTACAATCAGATAAGAGAAGGCGAAGAAAGGAGTACCTGGAGAAGCAACTGAGTCTGAAGAAAACCCAAATGGAGATGGACTGATGGAGGAGGAAAACTACACCCGGAACCGGAAGGGGTTGTCGGGTCGTGTCCCTGTTTTACTTTGGGAGGCGTTTTTCAAGTAGAAGCGTCGCTAAAGCTCAGCGATTTTGCTTGTTTTGGGGGCCCAAACAACAAGATCCAACTCTACCCGAAAAAACGAAACAAGCTTCAAAGAACCCAACCCAAATAGCTGCCTGCAACCCAAGGCTCTTTGCTATCTACCTTTGACGTCTCTTTTGGACCCGGAGTGAGTGACCCAGTTCTATGATGTGAAGTCGGCTATTATTCTAATCACTATTAGGGTGTTGATATATCAATAATCATGAATTTTTTTTGAAAAAATTATTCAAAACGTCCCTCATATTTTACAAAATGACTTTTTTCATTCCTCACTTTTAAAAGTATAATCTTATGTTTTTTACAAATTTACATTGGTCAAGTTTGGTCTCTACTTAGATTTTCGATTAATTTTTTGTCGGAATTCACTACGTGTCTAACATGTGATCATTTTTTAGGGGTAAAATTGTCAAACATATTTCACATAATCTGATCCATAGTTCTTTACATTTCACAAAATAAATTCTTTCATTCCTTATATTTCACAAAATGAATTTTTTCATCTCTCACATTTTATAAAATGAAAATTTTCATCCATCGTTAATTATGTATACGATAGTTTTTTCTTATTTTTGAAAGCTCATGTATATGTCTATTTGATTTCACCTGAACAATACAAATAGCATGTAAAGTATCTCTATTTAATTTCACTTGAATAAACTAATTGTTGTTGTAGATGAAATCAAATACAGATATATTACATGTTATTCGTATTGTTCAGGTGAAATCAAATAAATATATACATGGGTTTGAAAAAAACCTATTTGAACACATGATCAATAAGCGATAAAAAAATTTATTTTGTGAAATATGAGGGATGGAAAAATATATTTTTTTGAAATGTGAGGGACGAAAAAATTTATTTTGTAAAATATAAGAGGCGAAAAAATCGAATTATGTGAAATTTGATTTGACAATTTTGCCCCTAAAAAATGATCACATGCAAGGTGTGTGGTGGATTCCGACAAAAAATTAGTCGAAAACTTAGGTAGGGACCAAACTTGACCAATATAAATTTGTAAGAGACATAAAATTACACTTTTAAAAGTTAGGGATGAAAAAAGTCATTTTGTAAAATATAAGGGATGTTTTGAACGATTTTCTCTTTTTTTTTTAAGGACAATAATCATGAATTTGAGTAAAATTTTTCAATTTTTTTATTACCATCTAAATTTAGATTTCATAAATTAGATGTTCATAATTAGTTTGCGATCGAATAACTGGTAATTCAATAATATCCAAGACTTTATAAGTAATTAATCAAAAATTTTGAATTTCCTCTCGTCTTCCAATTGAAAACAAAAAAAGGTCAAAACTAAAACAATATGTTTATAATTCCCATGTCAAAATCTTAAACAACATTGAAATGGCGCAAGAAGTCCTAAATTATATAATTATATCAAACAACACGTCCAAATTTCTAGAGTTAGTTTAGACATTTAGGGTCAGAGTTAGCTTCGGAACGCTTCGAGAATATGTATTTGGATAATGATTGAAGCATTGGGTACAAGTCATTATAACTCTCTGATTTTTGTTTGCAAGTCATTCGATGCATTGCCTTGTCTGCTAGTGTTTATGCTTCTGTTGTGGTAAGGATTTTAGGGATTGATTTAATAGAGGAATTATTTCCAAGCAATAATGTACTGTTTTGATGGCTGCTCTTTCACCTTCTTCCGTTAGGTTCTGTTCATCTTCTTCTGATATGTGTGTGTGTGTAGTTTGATTATTAAATCAAAACATGTTGAGCAATAATGTACAGAATCATTAAACTACACAAGGAAAATATATATAATAGTACTATAATGACTGGGGTTGCTGGATTTGCAATTTGCATTTGGATGATTTACTTGTTTGTATATAGGCGGAAAAGACTTCCAACAAACTACCAAGTATGAGAGCTACCAGTCTTGTACGTTAGACTTCTTCTACCTGTAAGTCTGTCCTCTGGTGAGTTTATCAATAGGCCATGCAGCATAAACTACACGTTATCCAAAGCATAAATATTACTGTACTAAATAGTGGACATTGAATCTGGCCATTTCATTCCTGCTCTGCTATACTACTGCTATTAGTAGCCCAGAATGGCAGACTCTCATCGCACCAGGGTTGATGGCAATGACAAAGTTGAAAAAGGTACTGCATATATTGAAATTTTTTTGTCCATGGCAAGTAATCATAGCCCATGATTTTGCTTGCCCATAAGTATTATGAAGATGTTGATAAACCCTCGACAAGGTCAAGCTCAAACGTGATTATAATGATACGCAATCTGTGTCTGGTTGAGCTTGAAAATCAGAAAATGAAGCGATTAAGTTTGAGCTCAGCTTTGCTTATTTACAGCCCCCTAGAAGTTATAATTATGTCATCTTTTTTTTTTTTTGGGCTAAAAAACCTTTCTTTCTTCATTATTTTTCTTGGTTGTTGTGTAGAGGGCACCATCAAGAGGAGGGAGTCCAAGCCAGAATTCTCAGAAGATGAAGAAATGCTTATGGCCAGAATGTATAGACTGGTTGGACCAAGGTTAACTTTGTATTAATACATTATAAGTTCAAGGAAATGTTTAACTAGTACATATTCCTGTTGGTGGAATTTTAGTTGCTACTAATAATTCGCAATTTTCTCCCCTCCTGTGCAGGTGGGCTTTGATAGCTGGAAGAATACCAGGAAGAACACCCCAAGAAATGGAGAAGTACTTCACTTCCAAAAATGCTTCAACAAGCAATTAACCAAGGATCTTGAGTTGCACCTATCTAGCTAGTGTTCGTTCGTCTGCTACTCCTGGTTTGGATTGTGCTGCTTCTGCCCCTAGCTGTGAAGATTGTTCCATGGATTTTCAGCAACTCTTTTAAGTGTGTGCATTTTCTTAGTTCTTTCTTCTCTTCATCAGACTTTTTATCTGTGCATTATGTTAATCAGTGTTCAATTTATGTGCCAATATGTGGATATATTTCCAACTCAATGAAAAAAAACCCTGTGGTATACCTAATACACAAAAAAGTCACCTGTGATTTCAAAACATACAAAACGACACCTCATGTGTTGAACTAAATTGTAAACTAATAGAATTCGTTAAAGTTAACGAAAATGATGGTCTCGACTGTTAAACTTACAGGATTCCATTAAATTTTCTGTAAAGTTTACTGGATTTTGTTAAGTTTAACAAATTCTGTTAGTTTACAATTTAGTTCAAAAAATGATGTGTCGTTTTGTATGTTTTAAAACTATAAAGGGTTTTTCTATGTATTAGATATACCACAGGAGGCTTTTTTGTTTTTAACCCAAAAAAAAAAACCAAGCTAGTATTTTGTCATCTATTAATTGTACAAGTCCATGCAGAATCAGCATGCAATCATACAGCACGTGCAGGGTGCTCATCAGCAGTTGCAAATTGTAGTCTCCTTCCAAGAAAAGATATTGTAATCTCCTTTTGCCTGATATAGCATATTATTGTTATAAATCCCACAGTAGTTTTTGGCATCTAAGTCCAGAACAGGGTATTTCAAAATCAGTGTAGAAATAACAAGAAGAAGAAGAAGGAGGAGGAGGAGAGACATTTGCAGGAGTCCAAAGAATTTCAGCCGTGTAGAGATGGACAAGTATGGCTGCTTTTAGGAGATTTTGCAATTGCTTATAATGAAGTAGGAAACCTTCATCGCATACACCAGTGAATATCTAAAAGACCAGAGTGAACAGATGGGAAGCTTACATCAAGCTTAACTATGTTGTGTTTTTTATTATCAAACACGTTTGAATAAATTAAAATCTGAATGCATTAACTTGAAGCGAAGAATTGAGTTATCAGACGACACGGCGTGAATTAAAAGTTTATGTCAATAAGCCAGGCATGAGAAACACACAAAATTTTCCAGTCCAGTTACATACTACGCCTTTCAATTCACAAAGTGCCAACTGCCACGACTTCGAATTAAAAGCGTGATTCTCTAGCCCTATTTACAACTACTATATGTTAGGGACACACAAGGGCGTGGACTTCAAAAAAGCGTCCACCTTTGAATTGATGTAAACGTGAATTTATAAGATCGAACGCTTGCCTGTGGGGCCCCGGTACCGTTTTAGGGTTTATCCCGCTAAACCCCCCCACTCTTCCAAGGGAAAAGAGGAGAAAGGAACAGGCCTGAGAACAAGAAGAAGAAGAAGAAGGAAGGAATGGAGTTTGAGAAAAGAAAGGCAGCAACTTTGGCCTCCATGAGCTCCCCTGAGCCAGACAAGTCCCCCAAAGGCACAATTGACACCCCAATCATCCCTCTCCTAACAGCTATCAACTCCCACCCTTCATACTTCACCACCAGCTCTTGTTCTGGCCGGATATCCATCTTCTCCCAACCTATAAACCCCAACCCCGCTTCCAAAAAGAAGGCCAAAGGCGGTTCTTGGCTCTTCATCTCCCATTCCCCTGTCGACCCTACTTCAGTCCTCCCCCTTCTCTTCCCCTCTTCTTCAATCCAGTCAAGTTATCGTGGCATCAGTGATCAAGAATTTCAGGATTGCCCACATAGCCTAGTGTTCAAATTTGAGCCCCTGATCATAGCTGTGGAGTGTGAAGATATTGAGGCAGCTCAGTTTTTGGTTTCTTTAGCTATCTCACGTGGGTTCAGGGAAAGTGGGATTACTAATTTAAGTAAAAGGGTTATTATTGCAATCCGGTGTTCGATTCGATTGGAGGTGCCATTAGGTGATACTGAGAAGATAATGGTGTCTTCAGAGTATGTAAGGTATCTGATTGAAGTTGCTAATGAGAAAATGGAAGCTAATAGGAAAAGAACTGATTCTTTTCTTGATGCACTGCTGAAGAATGGATTTTCTGGAGGAGGGCGTGTTCTTGAGCATGGAACTGCTAATGGTGAATTGGGGTGTGATGAAGATTCTGGGTGTTACAATAGTGGAAAAGTGGAATCTTTGGGAAATTCTGTGAGTTACCATGAGGACAATTCCATGGATGGTGAAAAGAGGAGCGGTCTTGATGACAGCCAATCTGGTAATTACTTCTTTAACTCGATTGAAAATTCATTACTTAGCGTCAAGAGTGTTGAATTTGTCATTCTTAGCACAATTTCTAATTTTTTATAGCACCAAATATGTTCATTGCGTTTAGTCAGTCTACTTGAGAGTTCTGGCCCAAAGCTTCATTTTTTTTTTAGTTTTGCACATTGACCCTTAGTCATTGAATTCAATATTACATGTGCTTGCGAAAGATCATCTCACACTCATGTTTTTCCAGTGAGACTTGGGTAACATCCAATTTTGCACCTCCAATAACTGATATGGGAAATGAATTTAGATCTTTGATTTGATTCTTTATTTCCTTTTTCAATCTGATTCTTATTGGAATATTGATTTGCTTTCTCCTCGTAAGTTTTGCTGAGCAAGGCCTGGAAATTTGTTTATTGCTGTAAAGGCAGAAGATATGGTCATAAAATGACATGCTATATATCTTTGATTGCAGGATGCTTTGCCTTAACTATGAGCACAGTCTGAATATTTATATAATTGACAGGATCTTCACAACTGCCTATTTCTCCCATTATAGTTGTTGGCGAGCCTGTGGAGAGGCTTTTCCTTTGGGGTCACAGTGCTTGTACATTGGATAATTTAAACCATGAGGTGATTGTCATTTTTGGTGGTTTTGGTGGCATTGGAAGACATGCGCGACGGAATGATTTGTTATTACTTGACGGAGAAAGTGGAAAGACTCAAGTGGTAAATGTTCAGGGGGCGGCACCATGTCCCCGTATGGGTCATACATCTAACATTTTAGGGGATTCAATGTATGTTATTGGAGGCAGGGCTGACCCATTGAGTGTTCTGAATGACGTGTGGGTATTCAGGATGGGAACAAAAGAATGGAGTCTGTTGCAATGTTCTGGCAGTCAGTTCTCACCAAGGTGATTTCTTTGATGCATTTTGATTGGGTAACACATTTAACAGTGCTAATTATTAGAGTCTAGTATTTGTCATTGATGCTTGCCTCCTAAAAGCATGACCTTCAATGTTCCAAAGCATCTGAGCTGTAAGGTTTGAGAATTTGATCTTTCATTTGTTATGATTGCTGTACTTAAGAGTCTTTTTCTCCTAATTCTTATTTACCTTTTTTTGTGTCCTTGTCAAGGTAAAAAAGAGTCCTTTGCTCCTAATTCATATTTACCCTTTTTTTGTATCCTTGTCAAGGTAAAATGTGTCCTATGATGTTGAGGTTTTTGCAGGCATCGACATGCAGCAGCTGTAATGGGTTCGAAGATATATATATTTGGTGGAGTTGATAATAATGCAATAGTATCATCACTTTTTGTCCTTGACACGAAAAATTTACAATGGACAGAGATACCCATCAAAGGTGAATGGCCATCTCCACGTCATTCTCACTCCATGCTGGCATATGGGGATCATTTATATATGTTTGGAGGATGTGATGGGGAGAAAGCGCTTGGCGACCTATATGCTTTCAATGTTCAAATATGTGAATGGAAGAAGTTAAATATGGATGGAAGAAAACCAACTGCTAGGTTTTCCCACTCAATGTTTATTTTCAAGAATTATCTTGGCATTATTGGGGGATGCCCTGTGAGCCAACATCACCAGGAATTATCCCTTCTTGATCTGCACTCTTTTTTGTGGAAGCATTTCATGGTGGATTCTACTGGCACTGACCTTTTCGTCCGCAGCACAGCCAGTATCCTTGGTGATGAGTTGGTAATGATTGGTGGAGGGGCATCTTGTTACGCATTTGGAACAAAGTTTAGTGAACCGACAAAAATAAACTTGCTTCCTCTGATGTCTCTTACTCAAAGTAGGGAGAAGCATATTCACTGTCATGAAAAAGGATCCACTCATAAAAACAGTGACAGCTGCCAACTTTCAGATATGGAGCTGAAACTGATTGGAAATGGAAGCCTTAAGCATGATGCTGATGTTGAAGATTTTGATGTAAAAACTAGTGATGAGATGGTTGTTTCTTATTGGGTTCTTCGACTTGAAAGAAGATATGCAAAATTTGGGAAGGATATACTCAAAAAGTTTGGATGGTTAGATCCTTCAAGACAGGTTTGCTCACAGGAAGCTGGGAAGTACATTTGCTTCCCAGTAATTGAAAGTTTTTGGTCTCTATTCACTAATACCTTATCTGAAGTACCACCTGATCTTCGTCCTGATCAACCATCTTGTGCAGAGAGGTTTTTGTTGAAAGATGTAACTGAATCAACAGCTTTGAATACTTTAATGGAATGTGGTGCCACTAAACTCGAGGATGAGTTTGTTAAACTAAAAAAGGGACCAATTTCTCCTTTAAAAGCAATGAAGGAAGCTGTGGCCTCTTTGGTTGCACATAGAGGGCTACCTACCAATCTCTTAGATGAGCTACCTTCAAGGTCTTAGTATTTCATTTAGCATCATTGGTACTACAAAATTGTTGTTTGTTAACTTTTCTTTCTTTCTTTTTTTTCCCCTCTTTGATATGGCTTCAACAATTGGAAATGAGAAATTTTTAGTGCCAATCTAGGATGCTGATTGAAGGTTTATCTTATTCCCTAATACATTTTACATGCACATTTGATCTACCTCAGATGGCAGCGACTAGGGGACATTGTCGTGCTTCCTGTGACATCATTCAAAGATCCTGCATGGAATTTGGTAGGAAAGGAGCTCTGGCCTGTTGTTGCCAAGTCAATTGGGACTGATCGTCTTGCTCAACAAGTAAGATTCTGCATTTTATTGATTGGAGCTGCTTCTAAAATCTTTGTGTGAAATTTTCAGATCCTACATTGATGTGCATATTGTTGAACATGTGCTGGAACAATTATTTTATATTAGGATTTTGAGAATGTGGGAAGGGATGGTGTAGATAATTGCATGGTTAATCTTCTCTATTTCCAATTTTTATTCTTAATTTTTTTTTGACAGGGAAATTCTTTTATTTTCATTGTGTTAGATTTGTTATGGGGAATTAAAAAAACATCTCCATTTGCCAACATGAAATTTCTGATGGTCCATATCAATGGCTTTTGGGATAAACTTGGATCCAACCAGGAATTTTGCTGTACTTTTTTCACTTAGAAGAATAAAATCGCTTGCTTTTGATGGAATCTG